TTCTGAATTGCTGATGTACAATATAAAAAAAAACATGACTCCTATGGTTTTTTTAAGCATTCAGGGTTTACCAACAAAGTGTAAAATATTGAAACTTAATGCGATATTAAGATAATGATTAAATTAACCATCTATGTGCATCTATGAAGTTAAAATGCAAGATGTATCGCTAATTATTTATAACCAAAAGCAATGTGATGTATTGCGATACTGTTATCTAATCAATTTTCTTTTAAATTGTGACGAATAACAGAAACCCTCTTCCCATAATTGTAATGTTGAAACAAACATATGGATATATTATTTGTATCTGTGTATGTATATATAAACATTAAACTATTGTAAGTTATTAGAATTATTTAACAGGTAGTACAATTATCTTGGGTATGGTGAATTTCATGCAAAAGTTTTCTTTTCCTTCTTGAGTGAAAAATAGACTTTCATCAATCTTAAAATTCCCATATAAAATATCTTTCATTTTTTCAATTGATAACATATTTATAACACCTGGGGGTATACCGGATGTTGAAAACATGTCACAATATGGTATCAAACTACAATCCACATCGTTACATAGCACAATAACAGAATTGCCAGTAATTAAAGCTAACGTCAACTGCCAAAACAACACGTTTAAGTTCTTCCCCTTAAGGATGATAATACCGCGTGGCTTACGCATTTCTGTTATTTCTAATCTTCCACTTTGAGGATGCATTATTGAATTTTCATAGAAATGTGAAGATTTTGTCCATTTTAATATTATATCTGTCAGTTCAAACTTACTGAAAGAATGAAAGAAAAATTGGTAATTAGCTACAAAAAATAGATATATAAAGTGTATAGAATATAAAACTTATTTAATAATTTAACATACTTATTGCATTCCAATGTGTGTGCCAATTTAGATAACACTTGCATCCTGGAATCAATAGATCTAGCACTCCAAATTTTGGCTCCTTTTTCAGCTGCAGCAATGCATCTCTTAATATCTTCACTATAATAACAATAAATTCATTACAAGTTTAAGATATAAATATTATTAAATATATTCTGGAATTATATAGACAGTTATGAGAATAAAATCAAGAGAAATATGTAAATTCATACTTGGTTGCATTTGCCCATAAAAAACCTTTATTATTCCAATATGTATCTTCCACAGGTTTTTGCCACATTCCATCAAAAAACAGATTATATCTAGTAGATAAAGGTCCAAATATACCTAGTTTTCTCGTACTTGTACTTGTGTTTTGAAATAATGTAGAAAAGGAGGAGTCCGATTTTCCCTTGGGCGGGAAGAGTACGATACTACCGTAAAAATCCATATATGTATTGATAAATGTAACGTCTCTCTGGACGATAAAAGCAAGAATCATTTTAATAATACTTGAGACAAATTGGCAATACTATGTTACGTAATTTACATGACATACATTTAAAAACGCTGCCAAATCCTTTGCAGCTATAATATTCTCTGACCATATAGATATTATGCTCAACTTTTCGGAATGGGAAGTGGAATCAAGTAACTCCTGTTTTGATCGAAATATATCAAAATGATGAGCGGCTTTGCATTCGTTCATGAATGATGAAAGTTTCGGTACTAGTAGTTCTTGAATCCAGATTTTGTCAAAATAAAAATTTCTTATTTCTTTAACAACTGCATGCAAATCTGAATCTTCTAAAATTATCATTTCATAATGTTCATCTGTAAAAATTTAAAAGATTTTGTTTACAGAATATAAATATTTTCATTATATTTTGAATGCGTATATTTTTTACCTGAATCTCGATGTTCCATATTGCTCCGAATACACTGTTCACGAAAAGTTTTTGACCTAAAAATTATCACAAAATAATATATCTATAAAATAAACAATATATATACCCATCATGCCAGACATCCGAGGGACATCTTAAAGATGTCAAGAGGAGAGTTTCTACGTTCTAAGAATATCCATATAATTCCATTGGATAAAGTGTGCAATATGGGTATATATAGTAATTTTAAAGTATCATATTATATTTAATTGAAAGTAAACAGGAATCTGCATTGATATGTTCAGTACATTATATGTATTAGCATAATATTTTTATCAGATAATTACTCTAGCTTTGATATGAAAAGCCTCATGGGATAATCTCGCATACATATAAAGAAAAGTGTGTTCACTAAATTGAATAATTCCATGAATGCATCTGCAAATTTAAAATTATAAATGGATCTTATATATAAACAGCCCAGCAGAGTTAGATTCATATATATTCTTCAAACATATACTCGTACAATATGATTATAAAATGTTACATATGTTTAAAGAATGTATATGAAATTAATATGTTCTACCTGGGAGCTTAACATGTCTTATATGCTACATTCTTAAAGTAAAATATTAGAATAAATAATATACAACGTAATAAAGCATGTTTTTTAATACATAATATTTTGGTACCTACCAAAAGACACCTCAACTTCGTTAATTACAAACTTCATACTGTAATATTTTAAATATTCAATAATAGTACTAACTATATCTACATGGCGACAATAAGACTGGAAAAGAGGCAGATTCTTTTCTATTACCGTTGCCATTTCAAGGAATCTGTACATATAAACAGAATATATTAAATATGACAAGATTCAAAGCAGCTTTTATATTTTGATATTAAATGTCCATTTACCTCTTTGAATAAGTTTCTGGAAAAAATATCGTTTCAGATAAGTCAGATAGTTGTGATCGTGCTTTCTAAAAATATTATATACATGTAATATTATATTATTAAAGATATAAACTAGGCTTTTATTTTAAATATTAAAAATACATTTCATAACTTATCCACAGTATATTTATATACGCATATATATACTTACTTGTATGTCAAATTCGTCATATTCTAGATTTGCGTAACATTCACGTATGGTCCGATTCTTCGTCATAATTAATCTGGTTTCAAGAATGTTAAGAAAATCGAAAAAGTATGCGTCAATTGTTATGTAAACGAAAAAAAGAATCTAAATTTCCTTCTTACGAAGAGATACTTCGATATGGATCGAAAAACAGATTATATAAAACATACTGTAGCCGATAACTTGATCATAATATCGATAATGAAAATTAGGGATTAATTACAATTGAAATTTATTGAATTAAACTGAAAACTGCGTAAATTAATGAAATGGATTCAATTGAGAGAGTATTTCATCAAAATATTTCCATCCAGAGTTCTCCTCTGTATTATCTTGTTGTGGCTTTTTACACTTTGATGACAATAATTAAAACATTTTATATGAAAACGCATATAACGGCAAACACGATACACCACATTGAATGTCTAACAATAATTGATCGGGAAGGTACAAATCGGCGAAGAGAATCACTATTCATGAATTATGTGTAATCACTCTTATGGATTATCAATTGATCTGAAACCTGTGTGTTATTCGTTGACAAAATCAAATTTTAAAAAGGACGAAATCGAGCACTATATCCGTTATTTGCGGTGAGCCCAGCATAAACGTATAAAAGAAACTGATGAAGAGCGATAAGACTAATTATAAAATAGCTACATTTCTCTTGATACTTGACAGGAAACTACGTAAACTTTCGTTGAAAATAACTCCAAGTGAATCCTGTAACAAGAGAGATCATGGCTGCGTTCAGAGAGCACGATATCATCGCTATCATTTTTATCGCAAATCAGACGTAGAACGCAAATAGAATGACATATAACGTGCTACCTGAATGCAGCTAGCCATTTGTGCAATAAAATAAAGGGTACTTTCCAGCAAGAAACACGGAATCCTTCTATTGGCTGATGATACATTGCCATAAGATAACACGTAGCCAATAAAACAACTCTCTTATTTCTAGTTGGAAAGTACCATGTATAAAAAATTTTCTAGAACAATTGTGTCGGTAACAATCCCAAAAAATGACATTTTCAATCCTTTTCCCGGCATTCTCGTATCATTCTGTCTTTTGAAATTAATTAGTTTTGATCCATAATCTTTCTTTAAATCGTAATTATTAAGCGAAGTCTATAATGAGAATTTAAGGCGTAAACCTTAAGAAATGGACGAAACACGGTTGAATTATACAAGAAAAATCAATTATGATAAGTCAATTTCTTAAGGGGAGGTTCTCATGAAACTCGACCAAAAAATCGTTTTTTTTTTTTTTTTTTCGATAACTTATTATGTGTAGAATATGTTCCCAAAGCGGTTTGGCCGATAACGATTGCATAAAAAAGTGATCGCATAAGAAAGGAACCCATCTTTTTTCACGAAAATTGAGAAAATTGAGTTTGTGCGGTAATGGGTATCTCACATCAATCTTTTTCAAAGGCAAGCTTGTATTATTAATACTGTGGTAAGAATAGTTATTTCAAGCACCACCAAATGTCGCTAGATGCGCTATGGCGTTGAAATAACGGAAAGCATGCGTCTCTATACACTAATATGTGCGGGGGTCATCCCGTGTGACGGCTTAAAAAAATCGATTTTTTTTTTTGCATAAATCTAATCTAGAGCATGCATAGAATATACTGGCAAAGTAATTTTCCGAAATTCGAAGTCATTGAAAAGTTACAGCAGTAAGAAGATAAGGTGTTTAAGCACACAGCTGAGCGCTCGACGGGGCAGGAAACAAGAGCTATTGTATACCTTCGGACTCTTATCTGAAGCCGATTCTATTCACACGCACATATACGCACATATATTTAGAGGGGTGCTGCTATCCTGAAACTCAAATTGAATGTAATGGTTGCTTAGTTTTGGCTTCGCAGTCAGCGGCGCAACAGCTCTTGAGTCGTTGTAAGCAGTAATATTGTACCGTGCAAGTGTTTCAAGTTTACGATGAGTGACAGGAAAGGAACAAGAGAAACTCGCGCTCATGCTGAGCGAAGAAAGAAGAGAAAATTTCCAGGAAACCGTTATACGTTGGAAAATGATCTGGATTATACGTCGGCATCAGCGAAGAAACTGCTTGGAAGCATGAACCTGGAAGTGCCTGTTGCTTCGAACTTTGCGTACTGTATCTTAGAATTTGCATCTGTGTTTTCGGCAATTTCAGCAAATGTTATATGCAAAGAGTGTAAAAATGACGTGACCTTTAGTCAGACGATTTTACGAGGCTTGGGTTTTAAAATTCTTATGTCGTGTAAGTGCAGTACAGATAAAACGATAAACTCGGGCCCAATGATTCAAAATGCTTTTGAAATTAATCGGCGCTTCGTTTTTGCGATGCGGTTGTTAGGTGTTGGCCACGAAGGAGCGAATCTTTTCTGCAGTTTATTGGACATTTGTCAAGGTATAGGAAACTCGACATATACCGCGCTTTTGGAAAATATTCACACAGCCGCATCTGCAGTATATGAGTCCGTTCTATCCTTTGCTGCCACACAAGAAAAAAATATGAATGAAGAAGCTGGGAAGCCGCAAATTGAATTAACAGTTTCCGGAGATGGAACTTGGAAAAAACGCGGCTTTTCATCTCTATTTGGAGTATCGACGTTAATTGAAAAGTATTCTGGGAAAGTGATAGATGCGATGGTTATGAATAGTTTTTGTGGTGCTTGTAATCTGTGGAAAAAGTTAAAAAATACTGAACCAGAGAAATACGAGGCATGGTATGCAGATCATGAATCTGAGTGTTCGATAAATCACACAGGTAGTTCCGGTAAAATGGAAATTGATGCCATTATCGCAATGTTTTTACGCTCGATCGAAAAACACGGCGTGAAATATTTGACGTATGTCGGCGACGGTGACAGCAAGACATTCAATGGCATTTTAAAAGCTGAGCCTTATGGTAATGACTCTCCTGTTATTAAAAAAGAGTGTGTTGGGCATGTTGAGAAACGGATGGGAACACGACTCCGAAATGTTAAAAAGAATAATAAAGGTATTGGTGGCAAAGGTCAGGGCAAGCTAACGGACAAGCTAATTATTGAAATGACAAAATGTTATGGCTTAGCCATTCGTCGCCATCCCGATTCATTAGAAGAAATGAAGAAAGAAGTTTGGGCCACATTCTACCACAAATGCTCTACCGATGAAAATCCTCAGCACCAGAACTGTCCAGCAGGCGAAGGTAGCTGGTGTAAATGGCGGCAGGCTGAAGCTAAGAGCACGCTCGACCAATTCCACCACGAGAAGGCCCCTTTATCCAAGGAAGTACAAGCAGTAGTTAAATCTATCTATGAAGATTTATCCAAGGACGATCTTTTGACCCGATGTTTAGGAGCAGAGACGCAGAATAATAATGAGTCGTTAAATTCACTCATTTGGACGTTCGCTCCGAAACATCTACATTCAGGCGCTCAGATAGTTCAGATTGCAACTTTTTTGGCCGTCGTCATCTTGAATGAAGGCTTCCAAGGCATTATTAAGATAATGCATACGATGGGCTGTTCAATTGGACGATCAGCGCACGCTTATGTAGAGCGCCGCGACAAAGCCCGGATCAGCCGTTCCGAGCAGCGCATGAGCGACGCGGCAAGAGAAGTTAGAATTTCAGCCAGGGAGGAGCAGTCGGCCTTACGAAATTTACAAGAAGAAGAGGAAGGGATACTCTATGCACCAGGAATAGCAGATTAGTGGTAAGCAAAAATTTCATGGTGTAATTCACACGTGAACTTTCTAACGCGTTTTTTCTCAAAACTGGATTTTTTAACTGGTGCCCATGATTTTTCGAAAACGGTTTAATGGATTTAAATAAAATTTTAATGGTAGATTCAGCATATGTGTGGCTATCGTGAGAACTAGAATTTTTAAAAAATATTGAACCGTTTTCTGTCCGCATAAAAAAATAGTCGCAAGAAATCATGCTATTTTGAGTTATAATTTTTAAAAGCATGCGAAAAATTGAATTTTTAATATTTTCAAAAAATCCTAGTTCCCACAATAGCCATTCACCTATAGATTAAAATGCAATTTGATTTTTTGATTTCAGATAAACCAGTCTGCCGGAATCGTGGGCACCGTTTGTCTACTTTTTTTTACATGGGTGCCATTCCAGTGATGTGATGTAATGATAATGATGTAACTCGCCATCGACGCCATATTTTTAAATAAAAAAATTTACACATATAGTTTAAGATGTAATAAATATATAGTAAAAATTTGGAATCTCTGTATTTTTTCATTTCGCCGCAAAAAAGTGCAAAAAAACCTTTAAAAAACGGTCGTCACACGGGATGACCCCCTTAAATCTTATGCCTTAAATTCTCACCGCAAACCCCGCTTATCATAGCCTTTTCACGATATATTGCATGTGAAAAGCGTCCCCATTGTCTAAATGGAGATTCCCCGAATTCAAATGACGTATTATGAGCTCGCGTGTAACAGCGAATGTGTAGTATTTGCAATTGTTGACGCTTCTTATCGCGTAATATTTAGATGTTTCATAAAATTATTTTTGTCTCTATTTGACAATTGTGGTTTAATTTTTGTTAATGCATATCCTTTATTTGCTAAAAGTAATTCTATAATCTGTTAACAGTGGATAAAACAACGACATATGATATAAACATTACATTTTTATAAATTATATAAAATTATTTAACAGGTATCACAATTATCTTAGATATGTAGAATTTCACGCACAAGTTTTCTTTCCCCTTTTGTGAGAACAATTGAATTTCATTCATCTTATACCTAGAACATGAGAACTTTTCTTTTCAATCAATAACATGTTTATAACACTTGGAGGAATATCGGTTGCTGTGAACATGATACGGTATGATGCCAAACTACATACTGAGTCACATAATGCAATGACAGAATTGCCATTTACCAAAATAACATTTAAGTCTCCTGCATCAAGGATAATAATGCCACGTGACTTACGAATTACTGTTATTTCTAATCTATCACTTTGAGGATGTGTTATTAAATTTTCAAACAAATCTGATTTTGCCCATTTTGATATTATATCTGCCAGTTCAAGTTTACTGAAAGAAAAACTGTTAATTAGCCATCAAAAAGTAGAGATATATAAAACATATAGGAATATAAAATCTATTTAATAATTTAACATATTTATTGAATTTTAATGTGTATGCCAGTTTACATAACACTTGTATCCTACGTAATCACCCTTGTGAATTATCAGTTCGTCTGAAACCTGTCTCACTCGTCCACAAAGTCAAATTTTAAATTAAGTTTTAAAACGGATGAAGCACTGAACACTATGTCCGTTATTTGCATTGAACATAGCATAAACGTACAAACGAGCGATAAGACTAATTTATAAAACGCATCCGTTGATACTTAGCAGGAAACTATGCCGCTTTTGTTGTAAATAAAAGTTCTTACACAATGCCAGGCAACAGGAATAGAGTAACACAGGCAATAAATTTCCAATCCTATCGGAAACCGTATATAAATGCACAACGATTGATTGCACGGTTTTTGATAGATTGAAAATCTACTACCTGCGTTATCTTCTGTTCCTGTTGCCTGGCATTGTGAATGGACTCCAAGTGACTGTTGCAACATGGCTGTATTCAAGGCTGCGTTGTATCACCGCTATCATTCTATCTTTATCGCACATTAACACGTTGACTGCCACGGAACTTTTCACGATTCTGGACTAAGAAGCCGATTTAATCAAATAATGAAGCGACGAGATAACTCGTAGTTGGAGTCCTGGGCAAATAAACAACCTACGAGATATCTCGTAGTTGGCAGTCAACGTGTTAAACATAGAGCAAGAATAGAATGACGCATAAAACTGATGATGTGTTACCTGAATGCAGCTAGCCATCCGTGCATTTGAAGTAAAGGGCACTTTCCAGCAAGAAACACGGAATCCTTCTACTGACTGATGACACATCGTCATAAGATAACACGTAGCCAATAAAACGACTCTCTCTTGTAAAGTATCCTATGTATAAAATTTTCCAGAGCAATTGCGCCGGTAACCGTCCTAAACCGACAAATATTTTTAATCCTTTTCCCAGCACTCTTGTATATTATTCTGCTTTTTGAAATTAATCGCATCACTTCAAGACATTTGAGCCTCTCCCCAAAAAACTACCAGTACAATCGCGCACGAAAAGATTACCACATTCCCTAGACATAATGAGGTCGGAAATTTCGGATTGGTGTGTGCCATTTCTGAATGTCAGTGCGTCACGACTGCCGCTTGTTCTGTGAACCGGCAAGGATGCTCTAAAGCAGCAGTCGTGATGCACGAATATTAAAAAAATGATGCGGTTAATTTTCGAAATTTCCTATATTACCATGCCTAGGGAATGCTACAACTTTTTTTATCCGTGACGGTGAAAAAAAACGCAGCGATCACGGTGGGGACTGGGTCCCTAGGGTGCGAGTTTCAAATCTAACGGCATCAACCTGCGCGGTTTTCGCGCGGCCAACTTCAGGCGGTAGTTTGAGTTTGTTAAAAACTTCATATATGGGCAACGGAGCGCTGCGGAGATCCGGATATTCCTCGCGCGATTCCGTCGGGGCAGCGTGATGCTTTTCGCAGGGTACGTGATTCCTATCGATCTCGTCGCGCGGGAACGACGTGGGCAACGTGGTGTATGCGCGCGTACGGCGCAAACCTCTCCGCGAAATAACCTAAACATCTATCCGTCTCTCTCTCTCTCTCGTACGCGCGCGCGCGCGCGAATCTCCGCATTTCGACGCGCCGTTCATGAAATTCAGCGTTTCATCTTGCGTTTCGTCTTTTCAGATCGCGTGTGCGCTGCGTCCTTTCACACAATCGGCCATGAGTTCCCTTTAAGAGTTCCCGGAACGCTGTCAAACTCGCGCGTCCCACGCGACCCCACGATTCGTCGCAACCTAACACCATGGCTCTACCTGGTAACAAGAGAGAGAGGAAGAAGCCGGTCTTGCCGAAGCTGACTGTCCCTGACGAACCCGTACCAGTGTATGTGTAGAATCGATGACATCTTCCTTATATATTGAAATAGCATTACAGTATATCTTATGTCACACATGTGTCATGTGTTTTGTAAAGAATTCATACATATATAAATAATCCCCCAAGTAACAATGCAAGATATATAAATAATCCCCCAAGTAAACATGCCAGTTTACAGATAATACATTTTGGCTGTTGAGAAGATAGATTCGTTAGCTTTTCTTATATTTCTTGTGGACATTCTGTTCCAGGACACCACCGAGAAATTTGGACAAACGGACTACCATTACTATAGATGACAAGACATTTGTTGTGGAAGCTGATGACTTGGAGACGCTTTGTGTACTTGGCCGCGGAGCATATGGAATTGTTGATAAGATGCGACACAAGCAAAGTGGCACAATTATGGCAGTGAAGGTATTTTTCTACACAAAACGATCCGTAATGTATATGTTCTGATACAACATGATTATCTGTACGCGTAATTGACCTCTGCAGAGAATAACTGCCACAGTTAACACACAAGAGCAAAAACGGCTGCTTATGGACCTAGATATTTCCATGCGTAGTTCAGCATGTTCCTATACAGTACAATTTTATGGAGCCTTATTCCGAGAGGGGGACGTATGGATATGCATGGAAGTGATGGATATGAGCCTTGATAAGTTTTATATGAAAGTTTACAAACATGGTCGTGCCATTCCTGAGGATATTTTAGGAAAAGTGGCTTTTGCAGTACGTATGCGTATTCGAGCGTCCGGTAATGTTGCACGTTAATTCTTGCTCGTTTCTTCATTTTCTCTACTTTACCCTAATACTTATCTATACGTTCAACTTGGAACTTCTACAGTGTGAAAAATATATTCACATTTTTGTTGTATTAATGTTCGCAGGTAGTAAGCGCATTGCATTACCTCTATTCACAATTACGGGTAATTCACAGGGACGTTAAGCCTAGTAATATTCTAATCAATCGGAAAGGTGAGGTCAAAATTTGTGATTTTGGTATATCCGGTTATCTCGTGGACTCGGTCGCGAAGACTATCGACGCTGGGTGCAAGCCATACATGGCTGTAAGTAATCGTATAATTCGCGTGTAATCGCGGAAATTTCATCTCAAGTGTCTTATCAATACATTCTCCACCATTGTCTCTTTTTGTAGCCAGAAAGGATAGATCCGTCGGGTAACCCGTCGCAGTACGACATCAGATCTGACGTCTGGTCGTTAGGAATTTCCCTTGTTGAATTGGCCACGGGTAAATTCCCGTACGAGTCGTGGGGCACGCCGTTCGAGCAACTGAAACAAGTCGTCAAGGATGAAGCTCCGAAGTTACCTGCTGACAAATTCTCCTCTTCATTCGACGAGTTTATTAATAAGTGGTAAATGGCATATCCAGCGAAATTGTCTCTTATTATGCTCGTGAATCTCATGGACGATGTTTCCTCACGATACGTTTGTGTCCTGCTTTCAGTCTAATGAAGGACTACACTGCCCGTCCAAACTACAGTCAATTACTGGAACTCGACTTTATCGCGGAACACGCTCAGAAAGACATAAACGTGGCGGAATTTGTCGGAGAGATTCTAGACTTACCGGAAACTGAACAGCCGGCATAGTGCATATGCTACTTCGACGTAGCTTGTAACGTAATTTGACCTGCAACTTCTTCAATCTTAGCGAGACAGTCATTTAATCGCATCCCTTCATATGTAATTTATATTACCAGATTGTTCGATCATTGTATATTGAAAGTGTAAACGCACTTAAGTGATTATTATATTCCCTTATTTATCATCTTATTAATTTTTATCAATTATATCGGTAGTGATTTTACCGATAACTTTTGTAGTGTCCTCGAGTTTGGTCTGAAAAAATAACTATCCGCACCACTCTTCTAATTCACACTGAAGTGAATCATACAAAATAGCAGGTAGATGTTTTTTACATGATATAGCAGTATAAGTAGCATTCGTCACATTGATAAAGAGTAAATAGGTAAAATCTTAATAACAGCATCTGATATATACATTTTTAAGAATATAGATTAGGATACCGAGATGTGTTTGAAGGGGGAAAAAGGAGAATTGTAATATTGAAAAATAGCACGGTATAATCAAATGTCCATAATCAAAATTGTAACCGTCTGAAATGTAGTCCCGTTTATGTGGACCGTCAGTTCAATGTAATAAGATTTATATTAATAATAGATATTAAGGTTTTTTGAATTACATGTGCATAGTATAGAATTAATATTATACGATAGGAGTCTCGTAGAAGAGTTCTCGATTTTTTTTTATATATGATCTAGAACTATGATGTAATCAAACTGATCTTAAATAAACGATCATTTATAAGTGGTCTCGATATGTGTATAACAAATTCAGTTGTTTTAAATAAAAAAGGTTACCAGAGCTTTGTTGTTCTAGTAAAATATATTTGTTTGTACATTTTCCTACAAAAATTCTCGGGTTATCAACAAATAACCTAACGTCATAATTTACGTGAAATGTATGCCTTCCGCGTTGAATGTATGTAAAAGGCTGAAAAAAAAGTTCGTTAATTTCAATGCATCTCAGTCCCTGTAGACTTTGTTAAGCTATTAGATTATAATTTCGAATAATTACGTGAGGTCTGCTACACAACATCAATTTGCAATGCACGAGAAACATTATTCGTTAATAGTGTTTCTCGTGCATTGCAAATTGATGTTGAACGCTGCTTCTTCCTACCTGATAAAATCGTCAATGTCCATAGTCCTGGCTCGTTTACTCTCCGCCCCTATCTTCTCCAAAACGCGGCTTACCAATTGCTTGATATCAAAATCGTCCGGAATATTCTGTGATATCAGTTGATACATCATTAATGATGACAGATATTTACATTTTTACTTTGCATCGTAATTTTCATTTTCGTAACAACCAAACTCACCTTGTTATTCAAAGAACAATGGATCTTGTAGTTCTTCTCCAACATAGTGGTGACTGTAGTTTGCTTGAAGGCCGCGGAGAGGGTCTTATTCTTCCTCAGAAACGCGATTCTCGTCAGACCGTCCCACTCTTGATAATTGATTGGTGGTGGTGGGTTTCTCGGCTCGATTCTCACCACATTCGATTCTACCTTGGGTGGCGGTCTGAAATTATTCTTTCCGACTTTCATCAGCATGTCCACTCGTGACAATAATTGCGTATTGATGCTCAAGCGACAGTACAATTTGTCACCAGGTTTGGCTACCAACCGTTCCGCAAATTCTCTTTGAAACATAAGCACGGCACATCTGCAGAAAATAAGGTGCATACCAGTTCCAGCTCACCTTGCTTTGCCTGTGTATTAAAAATTCGCAAGATCCTTGCAACAATTTTAAATCGTTACAAGGAACCTCTGTGTGTTGCATTTTCAAAAAAGTTTACAAGTGATAGATTGGTAGAATCAAGTATTCTAACGCTAGTACTGTTCCTTAAGTTTGTTTACACGGATCTGTAATCACCTGAATAGTGGCCTGTGCAAGAGTAGTTTAAAAACTAGTGGTGACGATATCTGGTACGGTATATTGGCGACACACAAGTCGAAGAAAGGTAGATCTGTTTTTAGCACATCTCCGACTATTATTTGTAACTTTGATTGGTACACCGTTCCTTGGACACGTTTTTGTAACTCCGCTACCAATCTCGGGTCGACTTCACAAGCTACAACTTTCTTCGCCTTCTCTAGTAGTTTTACTGTCATATTGCCTGTGCCAGGGCCAACCTCCAATACAACATCGGTTGGCTTGAGCGCAGCTTTTTCGACCATACTTTGTATAACTAAGGGATTCTTCAAAATGTGCTGGCCAAAATCTTTATTAAACGAGATCCCTGTGTCACAAAAAGAAACGCATTAAGGGACGAGCGTATCTTGCATGAAAATTCCATGCACAAGTATAGAATTTATTCTCCGGTTAACCTATAAAAAAAATTCCAACCTTGTCTCGCCACTTCTTTGTGAACACGGGCAGTAACTTGCGTGCGAACTTTCGGCATTGCGTCTGCTTAAAAATTCAGACGCACTTGAACAAAACATATACACAGATTTGATAACGTTTTAAATGTGACCACGTGATACATCAGAAAGGTTATGTGTATAACATGTAAACCAGACGCCACATGTTACATACACTTTCGAATTATCCCGGATCCACGATAAGTGGAGCAAATTTTAAACCATAAGAAATTGACCAATCACAATCTATCATTCTTCTCACACTCGACTGTGACTGGTCAATTTTATACTGCTTGAAGCTTGCGCCGTAGAACCGGATTAATTTCATATACTCCATGCTGATTGGACACTCGTCGATAAGATAGCGGAATTCTTCCCCTTGCGAACGCCTTTTGGAACACATCCGGCATCCAATAGGAAACCCCATCATCTGAAAATCATTCCGAAAGAAACTCTCTCACTGGACGTTGCGTTTCAAGAAGTGTCGAAGCATTCTTGTGAACGGGTGAATGCACGGGTCGTATCTAGATTACTCACGCGTTACATGACCGTTGGTCGCGTTGCCGCGGCATCTCGTCGGTTATAGCGTATAGTGTTTTGTTCCCGACATTCCGAACGCCGCGAGTCTCACGATCGCTTCGTCACCACTGTCGCTTTACGCGACCAGTTAGCGAACGATCGGCGCGCAGGTTATCGTTTCTGGTTATCACGTCAGGCACAGCACGGCGTAATATGCTGGCGAATCCTCGACCAACGCTCGCGGAGTGACATGTCGACGAGAGCAACTCGCACAACTGCGCATTCCGTCGCACGTCGTCCATCGAAGAAGAAGCAGCAGTCGCTACGCCTTTACACGGCTCGTCCTCGTGCTGCGAAATCTCAGCTCGGTGTGCCGCATAGTAAGTACTCGTACACACGATCTCATGCCCGGCCCCCTGTGATTATCTCGCGCGTACTGTGTGACGATAATCTGTGACGTTACACGTATCGCCACGATCGAACGTCGCCGTTGCGCTTAACCTTTCAATCAATGGAACGGCTTCCCTCACGTTGGGTTGTTCATGTCTCTCGCCTCGACTGACGAATTCGTGAGAAGTTCGTGCGCGATCCCCACTTCGATCGCCCCGTGGGCTGGATGTCGTGCGAGAAGGTGTGTTTTGTCATCGTCGTTCTTACGTGTGTTTTGTCGAAATAGAGAGGGCGGGAGGGTG